AAACATTATAATGCATTTCATCAAAAATCAAATTCTATAAAATAGCATACGCTTTGAACACAAACATTTGAATAGCAATCTTGAATATTGTTTTAGTTACACTTGATAAACATTTAAGCTCTTCTCTTATTAACATGATGAAAGAATAAAAGAAAAAATAGAGAGATTTAAATAAAAAAACTCACTTGATTAACTCCTGATCTGTAGAATGGCATATGGGCAATAACAGTAACATAGATGTTAGGTCTGAAGAGGAATCCACTACCAGGAATCTCAAACTAGTGAAATTATAAAGAAAAAAGTAGAATAGAATATTCAAAACTAAAAGAAAATAGAGATAATTCCACCAATGTTCCATGATACAATCTACTTCTTTAGAACAAAGATGATAGGCAAAAATTTCCCTGCAAAACTCCATGATTCCACCAAATATTAGAAAAATGGGAATAGGAGAGCTACATGCAGCCCTTTTAGTTACCAATAAACATATAAACACAATTAACAAAACTTCAGCAAACACATATTTCAGCACAAAAATACAAATACAAACTTCTCAAAAGTTCTTGCAAGGATAACTATATCTCATAACTTCCTTAATACAATATAGAAACCTAGGTTTGCATTGTGGGGCCATGCAGTCTAGTGTCTTGAGTTTTGAAAAATAATTTTATGGATACATTAGTAAAGAATAATTTCACTATCCATAAATCTGCAGTCAATGAAAATAAATTTAGAATAAATCTTAGAATTTGTTTCACAAGTTCTCAAGTCAATCTTTTACCAACTACATGAAAAAGTATTTTCAGAAGCTTATAAATGAGTTATGCTAACAACTCGAAAAAAATTCCATTTGGTGTGATTAATGTAATAGTCATTAAATATCAATTCATAAGAAATACAAAATGCTTTCAAACATATCTGATTATGTTTTCACAAAATGATTCCTTTAAATTGCATTACAATTGTAGTGAAAAATCATGATTTAACAAGTCAGCAAGTCAAACAAAAGTTCACAAAACTATTTACACAGATGAGATGTGTCAAGTCATAACAAATGGCTACTTATTTACATTTTCTTTTAATAATCTATGTTCAACATTAAACAGCAGATGGTAAGATAAAATACCATCTAAATGTACATCTAGTACAGCAAAGGTTTTTTATGAATACTAAATCCTTGACATTTGAAATGGTAATTGACAAAATAAATTTTAGATTATCTGTTCCCTTTAATAATAAGCTTGGCTGTGCTTAAATAATTTTTTTTTTCTTTAGCTACCAATTAATTTTAAAAATAAAAAATTCTACATATATTAGGTCATCACGAAATTAATGTCACGTTTCAAACATTTTCATTAACCACCCCCCCACAAAACGTACATCATGTATAATAGTTAAATGAACTGCCTAAATGTCACTTTAGTGTAGTCTATATAATGTGTAAAGTTTAGCATACTCTAATCCCTTATTGTGATGGCACACGAAGAGACACACATTCGGCATGTAATGCTGTTTGAATACAAGAAGGGAAACAACATCTCTGTAAGCACAAAGAATATCAAAGAAGATTATGAAATATTTTGAATGTTCATAAGTGTCAACGATGGTTCAGCAAATTTCGTTCAAGTGACTTTAGTCTTAAAAACTGCGATGGCAGGGGCCGACATGTTGGAATTGATATTGATGCACTGAAGATGCTTGTTGAGTCTAACCCAAGACAACACACTCGTGAAATGGCCCTGAAACTGCATGTCTCTAATGAAACAATACGTAAACATCTAAGGAATATGGGAAAACTCCATAATAAGGTGTTTGAGTGCCTCACAAACTCTCCGATGATAATCGTTTTCAACGTGTGAACATTGCTTCGTCTCTTCTGGTGCGTAATGCGCGTGAACCATTTTTGGACAGAATTGTCACCGGTGATGAAAAATGGATTCTCTATGCGAATATTGAACGCCAAAAACAATGGCTCAGTCCTACACAAAAACCACTTCCGACCCCAAAACCTGGACTCCATCTGTAAAAAGTGATGCTTTGCATTTCGTGGGACATCAAAGGAGTAATTCATTTCAAACTTCTCAATCCACAGCAAACTGTCAATGCAGAATATCTATAGTCAGCAACTGGAACATTTAAATCAAGCCCTTCACTTGTCAATTGGAAAGGTGTTATTCTTCTCCATGACAATGCATGTCCACATGTGGCACGTTTGACACAACACAAGATTATGGAGTTGGGTTTAGAAGTTCTCCCCCACCCATTATATTCTCTAGATGTAGTTACCATCTTTTTTGTTTGCTGTAACTCCATCTTAATGGGAAAACATATGCAAATTTGGGAGGTGTTAAACACGAGATTGACATGTTTTTTGCTTCTAAGCCAAGTGATTTCATTAATCAGGGCATTAACAACGTGATCATAAGATGGAAAAGCATCATCGATAAAAATGGAGACTATTTCATTTAATAAATGTTTTGTTTTGATATACAAGTTGTTTGAGTTTTTTCATCTAAAAAAAGCAATATTAATTTCTTGATGACATAATACTATGTACAATAAGATGAAAATGTTTGTCTTATCTGTTCTTCTAATTGTTTTCAAACTAAAGACAAACATAAAACAAGTTTTTACTTTAAAAGTCAATTATTTTTATAATAATTATAATATATATTTTCCAAGACTAAAAATTCATAGTTTTTCAGTAATGAACTTAAACATCTACTACAAAATTTGCACAAACCGGTTTTACTGCTCCTTTTGTACATTTTCTAAGTACTTGATAGATCTCATCAAACAAGATACTTCCATGCTGTATATCCTGTAATAAATTGTAAACCATTACAAAATGCACTGGCATTATAAATTAAACAACCTTAAGTGGTAACAATAGCACATCACTAATGATAATTTTTTTAATGAACACATTCTGTAGAAATTAATTTGCAAAAGCCTAATAGTGCTTCCAACACTTTAAATGCACAACAAGTAATTACTGTATATTAGTTTAGTACAAATATACACTGAGTACAGGGTTGGTGATGGCTTAACTAGTGCCCTAAGTAGAAATTAAGGCTACTCAAGCCCCCAAGAATTTGATACCTTAGGCAGCCACCTATGTTACCTATCCTTAATGTCAGACATGACTGAGTATAATAAATAAAGCAGAATCCTTAATTTAAACACACACTCACATAAATATGTAAAACTGTTTATATCATAAGGTATCTCATTTTTTTCCATGAATATAAATTCTGGTTCATTTTTTGGATTCACATGGTGGATAAAGAACCTACATGTGTTCATTAAACTTTTAAAAATGAAAAAAGGAATATTACATATTTAGAAGTTAGTGATTTTATTCCCTCACTTAATTACCAATGTGACTCACTGGTAACATGTTTTAGTTTTGTTTTGAATAAATTTACAAAATGAATATAATCCTGGTTTCACCCTTTTGCTACGGGTAGAGGTCAGAGGGCATGTCATCACATTTGTAGACTTACATTCAAAATTTTATTGAACTACTACTTTATGAATATATGTTAATAAGTTTGGTATCAAATTGTATAGGGTGGGTCATTTATATCTGACACATTCTTATTTGATAATTCTAAGCATAACTAGAGATTTGAATAATTTTATTTTTTGTCTGTTTCAGGTGAGTCCTTGAAGATTGGAATGATAAAGCATCAAGATGTGCCAACACGATTTAAAATTGGGGAACTACTTTAAATATGGCTCTGTTGTTGCAACTCGGAGAGCTTTCAGAAGGGAAATTTGATACAGAGATGCTCCATGTTGTAAAATCATTCTCTCTTTTGTTAAAACATTTTGTGAAGAGGGAAGTGTTTGAAAGAAAGCAGTACAAATGAGACAACAATGAACAAAACAAAACAAAGGAGATGATAAAGGTCAGAACAACTATAAAGGTAACAAATGGAAGGAGGGAGAGTTGACTGGTGAAATTATCCAATCCCTCGCAAGTTTCAAGGAGGAATGAGCTATCATGAATTAATATCAACCTGCCCCTGTCATAGAGAGTGTGAGGCATATGAAGCAAAACTGTCAGCACAATGGCTCCCACATGTAAGGAGAAGAATATGTCTTAAGTGAAAAATGGAACAGCGATGAACAGGTGGCCAATGGTTCAAACAGAGAATATATGAGAGCCCTGATATCTAAGCAAAGGTTCCAGTCCAGATGAGAAATTGAACAAGGAGGAGAACTGGTGAAAAAGGCTCAGAATAGATCTGTAAAAACTGTAAAAGGAAGATGGTCAGTGAAGAGATGGAAGATCAAGCACAAAACCAAACTGAACCACTGATAATAGAAATAGGAATATAATGAGAAGGATAGGTATATACAAAATCTGAACAAATCAACACTCAGAAAAACCACTGTCAGAACTGTAGTGAGATCAGAAACCAAGAGAGTATAAATTAGGCGATGAGGCAAGTCAGTTATACAGCCATGATAAGACATCCAAAATGAGAGTAAATTCAATGAAAACACCAAAGTATGGAGATTCCATTCTATGAGAAGGATCCAGTCTAGAAAAGATAGTCAATATGTCAACAGGGCCAAAACTTCAGAAACATAATAGACCGACAAATAAACTTAATGATCGTGGGTTCAAAAAAAAAGTCTACAGCATGGAAAACAGAGGTTCTGATAGCAAGTCAAGTGCTTCCCTATCAATGGATGGAAGATATAACAGGGGTACCTGAATGGATCATGATAAGAAGGCCAGAGAGACAAGTCAGAATATGATGGCAAGCTGGTTGAACAGCCAACATACTGAGGACATTGATATAGAGAAACCAATCCTCTGGAGACCAAGCTCTGGAAATAGATCAGAAAGTCAGAACTGCACCTTACCTGAACAAAAAGGAATTAACTGACAGGTTTTGTTCCTAGGTTTGGTTGTTGTCAAGTGCAAAGCTACACAATTTGCTACCTGAGCTGCACCCTCCACAGGTATGGAAACCCAAATATCTGAACGCTATAAACCTTTAAAGTTACTACTGAAATACTGGGGGCTCCAAAAAGATGCGATTTGAAGTGGGGAGTAAAGGGATGTCCAAGGTTTTATGAGATTGAGTAAGCCACTATGACAGCAAGAGCTGAAATATTGGAAAAAACACAAGCAAAAACAGTAGATTTCTGGATATACTTGCACTGATTGACCAGAATCCACTAAAGGGAATGCACCTGGATATATCAGAGAGGAACAAGAGATTCAAGACAAGAGAATTCCCAAAGAGAGAGAAAACCTTTTGTGCAGGAAAAAAAGGAAACATGAGAGCCTTGATATCAGAAGATCCCCATCTCAAAGACTTAAAGGAAAAGACCAACTATGCCACACACATGAATTGAGACAGACCCCCCAAGTGAATGAGAAATTGGATGGAAGTCAAGACTGAACAGGAAAGTCAAACCAGCCACCCCAAACAAGACAGCTCCCAAAGGAGAAAGAAGATTACAAAAGTGGATGCCACACTGAAGAAGACAAGTAGAGGACAAACATCCATAGAATAATGGAACAGTAGGCCTATGGAATGTAATCTCCAAGCAAAAGCACTTCAAACCTGACTGAAAACATATGGGGCTGTAGCCAACCTGTAGGAAAAGACAGTAAACATAATATTTGAGTGTTGTAAAAAAACTGAACGATATGAAAAGAGAGTGGACAAATCAGAATGTGGAGAAAGTATCTGAGACATCAATCCTGGTCATCCACATATTGGGAGAGTACCCACCTCAGACTGAGAAAATGGTTCATTTTAACTCAAGGACTACCAAAGTTTGTTCAAATGGGGCAGATCTAAGACAGGTCACAAACCTCCTACCTTCATGAGAACAACAAAAAGATGAAATTAAAACCCCAAAGTGTGATCAAGGAATTATTATTTTAATCAGATGAGGTGAAAGGATAGGGGAAAACCATGATAAAGAACCTGAGTAACCCAATAATTACATTAGAAAGTTGGAGAGATAAGTTCCCACCAAACTGGAGCTGAGGAGTAACTCCAGAAACAAGTCACCTCCAAACCAGTGATGACTAGTCCTCAGAAAAGGGGGGACATTGGATAATAACAACAGGACCAGGAACAGGAGATGGAGCAAGTCCAGGAAGCTGTAAAGAATAAGAAATCTGGTGCGGCTCACTGATAAAAAAAAAATATCAAGAAACCAAAGTCAGCAGAGATTATTCAAATCAAAGTTATAACTGAGACATATAAAATTTGGTATATTTCTCATATTCAAGAAAATTAAGGAAAGAAAGACTACATTAAAAATTATAACAAAATGTTGCAAATAATAGACAAAAACCTGGCAATTCTTAAGAAAAAAACATCTTAACACCATCTAAATAAAGCAGTCCTGAGGAAAAAAAAGTAAGCGTTTTGTTACAACACTAGTGCTTCTAAGTTTATTGCATATGGAAGAGGTGTTGCCCCTCCTATTGGTGGAGATCTAGAGTCTAATAATGATTACATCTTAGGATGGCACAATACATATTAATGTGTGTAAGAGTGGGGGTTCCATAAAAGATTTTTGAAAAGGACAAAACATCAGCAGATGGAGAAGGTAATAGCTGTTCTGTGGAGAGGAGAGAAGTGTTTCTGCATCCCTAATTTTCTTTCACAGAATGTATAAAGGAATAGATTTTGTTCTTTTTATTTGTAAGGACAATTTTTTAAAGCATTTGCAGAATTTCTTCCCATTACACTATATAGAAGTACAACTTCGTGATACAGATCAATTCAAGTACATGTTTCAGAACATAGAAAACTTACTACAAATATTACTACTCCACAAGCTTAGTACTTGATTAAATTACTCAATATGATGCTATGTATTAATATAAAGTACAAATGGTGCATAAACATTCCTCCATTAATAAATCCCTTTAAAAATATGAGTCTAAACAGAATTCATTATTCAATATTGACTGAAACCCTGACCTACATCAGCATTTTCCAAATACTATATGCAAGTGAACATAGCACCAAAGATCTTTTACCGAGCTTTAGTGGTGCTGACTCACCAATACTTAATACAGTAATTTAAATTATATACCCAAATAACAAGTATATTTTTCTATATGTCAAAGAAAGTTCAACCCAAATGACAATTTCAAACCAAAAAATGCTTTTGATAAAATTTAAAGAAACAATAGTTTCAACTAAACTCAAAATATTCAGCCTCACTTTTGATTTCTCACATTTTTCTGCTATAAAAGTAATAAAATAGTTCCACAATAAAGCTCCAAACAACATTTAATCCTCTACTCAACCACTTTTAATTGACTTAATTTCACTTTGCTACTTTATATTTGCCATTATCTACTTTAAAGTACTTGTATTATGGAGTTTAAATAGCATTTTTTTATAACTCTTCTAAAAAAACCTAAACTATAATTAGAGGACAAAAAGAGAAGATAATTAAACTAATTGTGTTAAGTTCGTTAATTAAAAAAGCACACCACCAATAATAGAAGAAAGTGCTTTATATTTATTAACGAGTTTTTCTAATTCTATAATTTCTTCAGTCTATACCCACTTCTACACTCATATTAAAAATGATTTTTTTAAATATTACTTTTCCTGATAAGTATAAGCAAAGAGTTTTAAACATTGAAAACACATGCATGTATGGTCCATATTAGTGCTTAAAAATGGAAATTTCACTGCATTTTATAATTATTTTCAGAAAGGGCAAACATTGCATACTTTCACTACAAACCAGTTCATAGATATGATGAAATATCACAATTATTTTAACCTAACTTTTCACCAACTATTTCTATAGCTAACAAGAAATACCAATGTGCATCAAAAAACATATCCTTACCACTGTACCAACTGATGAGCTCAGATCCAAGCAAAACACAACACGATACTGACGTGCAAAAAACATCGTTCTCGTGAAGGGTGTGACACGATACTGGTATTTGTGACTTTCTTCAGGGTTCCAATCTTCAGGACATGTCTTTGGGAGGACAGAAACTACCCCAATTTCTTCTGTGAACTCAGCCTAATAAGTACAATATAACAATTACTCAAACAAAGATAGGCTTACTAGATACCTTTAAAAAATACATGAACAAAGAACCTGATCATGAACAAGTAAGCATGTATTAAATACCTGTACATACGTCAGTCGTGTTGTAACAAAATTTCTTTTGTTATAAATACACAAAGCTAGATAACTAATATCACATTTTTGTTCTTTACTTTGCAATAATTATTTTCAGAATTCTTCACTTAATCTGATGCAAAGAAATTAATATTACCACTGAAAAACTCCTATATACACCCATCCTTCATCCTTGTTTACATTTATGCTCTGGATCATATAGCACAGTCATGCTTAACAGATACCAAAAAAAAAGATAGTACAGCATCCATGTGTATTACAAAATGTGTTTTTGATACTATGAATTAGTAGTAAGGAGATGGTTACCTTGTTTCTTTATTTTGTACGAAATATTATTATAGTTATTTTCAGTGGATAGTGACAACTAGTGTACATTGCATGCCAGAGGTAAGAGCTTTGAACTCTTGTAGAAATGTAATAAAGCTGTAAACTCACACATTTAAATTACACTCTAAGCTAAAATTTAACATAAAATTTGTACTTCATAAATATCCATAATTAACTGTATTGTTATTTTATATCTATCTTTGTTCTAGATTAGACCCTCGGTGCAGAATCAACATTTTCTCCTACATGTAGAACAAAAATTTTTAAAACATATTTAGCAGCTCTATATTTCATGCTAGGCCTAAATACAAAAGTAACTGCTTTTAGGTTGGGTTGATTATTTCAAAATATTTGGTAAAGTTGTTTGAGATTTATTGGCATGAAGCAACAAGACTATCCGCACCAATTTGGTAAACAATAATGCAATTTCAAGTCCACTTAATGAAAATGAAAGCATTACTCTTCTTCTACTACAAGTTCTACCAAGTTCACCAAGCAATACACATAATTTTGTAAATAGCACTATTCACTTATATGCTAACTTCTCCCGTATCTCTAGTACTACATTTAAACAAACTCAAATTAACAAAACTAGATTAACGGACTAAGTAACAGACAAATTAACTAACCCACTTACTAACTTAATAATCAATCCAATCCTCTTGTTTTTATATCTTTCATGCCATTTCTTAAACTCTAAAAGAAAATTCAGATGTCACACACTCATAACTTCACATCAAAATCCCTCTAGTGAACACTATAAATTTCTAAATTAAAATAGCCTACAAATGATTTACACTTTGAAACTCCAAATGATGCATACAGCTTCAACAATAGCTCAACATCAAACACAGTTTTGGGCTGACTTCTTTTCATATGGCCCACTTTTCTTTTTCTCCTTTAAGTTCCACTCGAGAGCTTGTCTGATGATGTTGTCCACTGGTTTCCTAAAGGTATGTCCAATCCAGCCACATTTTCTTTTGGCAGCTTGGGCAAAGATTAGATCTTGGTTGATTTTCTACTATAGATCATTGTTACTAAAGGTTAATGGCCACTTAGTTCACAAGATATTCCATAAACATCTGTTGATGAAAGTCTAGAGTTTTTAATGTGGTGGCATTTACTCTACATATGTTTCAGAGCCATGTAGCAGGATTGACTTGATGTTGCTATTAAAAATACTGAGTTTGTTTCTTAAAGAGAATACCTTTGAGTTCCAAACTGACTTTAATGTGTTGAAAACATAGCCAGCCTTCCCTGTTCTGTGTTTTATATCTTAATCTGTGTCTCCAGTGATAGACACAATACTACTCAGTTAAGTGGATTTTTCCACTTCTTTTAGGCTATTCTCATTCAATGTGATGGTCTGTTCCTGCTTAGTGTGGATCTTCATTACTTTTATTTTCCCTGTGTGCATCATAAGTCCTGTCTTTACTGCTTTCATGGTCAGACTGTTTGTTTTTGTTTGCATGTGTTGCCTATCATGCAACAGGAGACACAAGTTATTGCACTATCCTAGGTCTCCTTTCTTAAGTAGTTTGATTAGGTTACCAGTTTTTCTTTCAGATAGAATCTGCACTTCTTTCCAAATTGTTTTTGTAGAAGCATGTGAAGCATCTCCACAGTGGTGTGAAGATTGGTTTTCAATGCTTCTAGGGCTATGCCATCAAGTCCAGCAGCTTTTTTCACTTTTTAGTTGCTTCAAGGCTTTACGAATTTCTACTCTTCTTGGTGGACTGGTGACAGCATTTAGCAGGATTTTACTGATGGAATTTTGGGCTTTTCAAATCAAATTACTCAGCTCATCTTGACCTATGCAATGCCTCCTTTGTGATAATCTTTTCTGCTTTGTTTTTTATTGGTTTTGACTGAGTCCCATTTTTGCCTGACAGAAGTCTGGTGGTTTGGTAAAGTGTCCTTAGGTCTCTCTTGTCTGCAACTTATGCTTTCATTGCGAAGATCATCACAGAATTCGCTTTTGTTTATTCTGGCACTTTTTTTTATCTGTATATTTGAAAACTAGCACCTAGTTTGAAGCTCCTTCTCTGTGATATTTCCACAGCAGTTGATTTCTTGCTTGAATTATTTCCTTTCCTCTAACAATTTCCATGTTTTAGCTGATAGCCATTCTTTATGTTGTCTTTCCTTCTTGTTCAAGACCTCTGTGCATGTCTCCTGCCATGCATCTTTCAGAAGAGTCCTATATTCATCCAATGGCTTTTCATCTACTAGTGTCTTATGAGCAGCAAATCTATTTTGCAAGGTGATGGCAAACATTGCCATCACTGCCTTTGCTTTGTTAACTTGTAGTGAGGTCAGTTTGATTCTCAGAGTTCCAAGTACAAAATGGTGGTTGCACATATCATTGGCACCTCTCTTCACTCGATTATCTAGTAGGTTTCATCTCCTTTTTAAAATCCATGTACACCTTTACAGTGAATATCTCAACGCACTAGTGGAAAACTTCCTAACAAATATGTGTACTAAATTGTTGTTTTCCTTGTTTTAACACAATAAAAATTCAGAAGGCTCATTTCTAAAAAAAAAATAAAGCTTCAATGAGGTTGTTAATATCATACTTACATGTTTGTTTGATTGAACACAGTACACAAATATGCTCACTGTAATTTTACATTGTTATTTATTTTGCAGCTAAAAACCTTTAGTGTTACAGAGAAAATACTATGTGGGCCATCCATCTTTGTAATGACAGTATACATTGGGTATATGGTGTAATTTGCACCTTGACAAGTTAAGGACCCTCAAATTACACTTGAAATGTTCATTTAATGAAAACATACTGTAACATATGGCGTATTTTCAAATGTTAGGTAGTACTTGAATTAACTTTTAATCTGACTGAGTTGGCATATCACAGATTGACTTAACTGTGCAATAATTACTTGAAAAATTCATTATAGGTTTTATCATTATTGTAAAAGATATTCATAGTAGATACGAGGTGAGGCCTGTATTAAGTGGGTATTAGCTGCTGGCAAAACTTAATAGTATGGAAGCCACTTATTGACAAAAATAATGTTGTAGCACCCTCCAGGTAGAAATATTCCAAACAGCCTTTAACATAATACCTGAGGTGTGTGAAAAAGCAGAATTTAGATCTCTACTGATGAACAGATATGAAAAACTAGTGATCACTACATGTAGGTCTTGCTAAATAATTTAAGTTAATTTGATATGTTGTTCTAATTCAGAGTAACTAACCACTAAAATAAGGTCTTTTATTATGGGTAAAATATATTTATAGTTTAACTATGTACTCACTAAAATGTTATCTTTCCTGATTAGTCCTCAACATCTAAATTAAATGCTAGTACCAACTGATTTTAACATAATTTATCACAAGATTTGTTACATGGCAACATGGTTTTCTAAGCCTGCAATTGTTATTCAGGCAACCTTTCTTCCATCCACATAAAAATATACTTTCTGAAATTAAGGTATTCATTCACAATTTAATATCCTCTTTCATATGGTCTTAACATCCAACAATTACTGCCCTATCAAAGAATTAATTCTCTCATCAAGGGTATTAAAATCTCTATATCATAGAGTTTGGAAAAAAAAAAACTGTCGAAAATATGCAATCAATACTATTTCTTGAATTATTAAATTGTCAATAAGAATCTTAAAACCAGAATAAAGACCATTGTAAATTAACAATTAATACCCCTTTTTAGAAGGGCCTGAAAGTAGGAACTGAAGCAATTTTTTCAGACTATAAACAAATCAAATAATGCTTCATACATACTGGTCTTCAAGTGAATTTAGCAGCAACAGTGAGAAAAACTTTTCTGCATTAAGAACAATATTTGAATGTCTAGTCCTTGTACTAAATGTTTAACACTATTTTTGTTAAATATCAAATTATATTTATTCTACAACACAAGTCTTCAGATTTCCACAACTTATGACCACCATCCAACTTTCTGGGACCCATGCTCCACTGAGGAATATAACTGTTTTAATATATTTCAATAAAGTCTAGTAGTGTTCTTATGTTAAGTGGATTTATTTTGTTTGTTCAAAAACAATTTTTGATGATTATTCTATAAATGATTTTATACTAAAATATATCTATGCTTTACTGTATCTTGTTCTGCAACCCACTGCTATACCTCTTATGATCCAGCAGTAGGTTATGACCCAAAGTTTGAGAAAATATCCATACATGTATGTGATTAATCTAAGTTTATTAACACAACACTTTTCAGTACACTATACATTCAAATGACTTAACAAGATGTTAGCTATATAAAGAACCTGTCTCCACTGTCTTATTTCAAGACAGTAGGAATGGAGCTGTTAAATTTCATGACTGGTCTTAAATTGTCTACTTATTAAACAATGCTTTAAGACATTATTAAAATTAAGATCTGATGTTAAGTCTGGAATCAAATTTTAAAGGTACTAAGTATTGTTTCAAAAGAGCCTTATTCAAGGTATTTTTTCTGTTTTAATGACATTTAAAGTGTTCTTAGAAGAACATAATTCAATAACTACCAAGATCATACAATAATGTTTTGGCTGAT